GACAAACTGTCTCACTAAACTCACATGGGAGTGAGTCGAGTGACTAGAGCAATGAAAGGCAAAATGGTATTTCAATAGGGGCAAAAATGATATTTAAGGAGGGGAAAAGGCCCAATTGCTCTCTCATGTAAGTAAAAATCTTAATTTGATGAGAGGCAATTGCACCCTCTGAAACCAACCTGGGTCCACCCCTGCTCTTAATCACTATCTCAAAGGTAAGTGTGTTATGTCTTAGTCATTTCTATGTATTCATATAACTACCAAATAAACAGAGGCGCAAAAATATTATGTCCAGGGTGCAACTCATTTCAAATTTGTAATTTTTCTATACAAATAATAAAATTTAACAATTTTTCTTATATAATCTATGTAATTTAATAATTTTGTTCCTTCCACCATACCCCTCTCAATATATATTTTTGCCCAAATTAAAAAAAAAATAGAATTTTGTTTGGCGATCTTGCTCACTCTTCAAAATTATAGAAAAAGAGCATTTCACGTGCAAAATTTTAATAATATTGTTATTTCTATGTGACTTTAAAGATTTGAGTTTTATTTATGTAAATTTGAAATATTGGGCGTTCGATATAAAAATACATAAGAATTTTGTTGGATGCGCAAAAATGCGCTTTAACTTTTAACAAAACCCTCTTCAATAAAGCCAAATTATTACAACTTTTTGTTTGATTTATCCGATAAGTACCGTGCATCATGTAATCAAGAGATTAAGGCCTCGTTTGGTGCAGCTTATTTATGTGTTTGACATTTAAAAATGTCACTTGGGCATTTGTTTTTTGCATTCAAGATACTTATCTGAAATATGCATTTAGCGTCATTTAATAATCGCGGCCGCGGGATCAACCCCGTTGCCTGCATCTTCAATCTCGCTTCGAGGGTTTGCTTCCTTCCATGCGCTTATGTTTGTCTCCTCCCTCGCCCGATCATTATTTCCTTAGGCCACTTCTCCCTCGCCATTTCCTCGGTTGTTCCTGTTGACAAATCCCGGCTTTCTCCCTCCTCTCTTTTCCGAGAACCTCGAATCGGCTTCTCACACCTTCATTCACGGCATCCCGTGTCCCGTTGGTATCGTCCTCTATCCTTCATCTTTTTCATCACTCTCCTGCAGCGGAAGCTGGTTATCTGGGCCCCTCTAATGTCATGTTTTCCTTCTCTTAAGCGTAACAATGATCTAGAAATAAGGGTTTGGGTCTCAACACGTCCTAAAATTGGAAACATTAGCTTCAAGCATTTTATTTTGTTTGTAATGCATTTCAATGGACATACCATCCTCTTGAGCTCAATTGTCGGTGTAATTGTAGCAGATTTGTTTTCATGATTATTTGTTGGTGAGCTGGCTCAGTTTTTCTGGTTGGGGCCTCTCTAATGCAATGTTTATATATATGCATTTTGCGGGGTTTTTTTCGTTGCAATGGTTATCTCTCTACGGTTTTCCAATTTCAATAATTTTTTTTTCTTTTTAAGTACGCTTGATACTCATTGTTATGTGAGGTGTGTCTCTTATTTTTTTCTAATGTCCTGATGTGGTTTTTGGCCTCTCAAGTATCTATGACGGTTCAGTTACAAACAACAATATTGTACAAGGGCAGAATGATCATTTATCCATAAACAACTACAATCAGATGTTTTCCAACAGCACAAACCAAGCAGTCAACCAACTTATCTGGATCAGCTACTGATCAGCAGTTTATATGGATGAGCTGCTTTTCAACAGCTCATCAATAAGTTGTAATTGCCCTAAACAGACCCTAAATTATGGAAGCATGAAACCAAATTTGTCATGGTGGTTAGTTGCAAAGTGTCTTTAATTAAATATAATGGATATAAAATTTAGAGAAAATTACATACATAATATCCAAATTTATATATTAAAAAGATTAACATCCACTTCATGTTTTTAAATTATTAAATTCATGTGTTTCTATACGTCACAACTAAATAATTAGGAATTTAGCAAAAAAGTAAAAATAGCGGTTTAAATTTTAGGGATAATTATACATACAGAGCATAAGAAATATTGTTATTTATATGCAAGAATATTCATGATATTAAAAATATTCTATTATCTTAGCATTACATAAATTTTTTCTGCACCCAAAAAAGTTTAGTTGAATGCAACTCATTGAAGGTATAAATTTTTTAATGTGAAAATTTTTATAAAATGAAAGCCTTATGTTTCACCTTTTTTATAATGATTTCACTAATGTGATGTTGATTATATTGAATGCTCTCATCACAATTGGAGAAAAAATAAACATGGAGGATGGATTGTATAAAGCAAGTGTTGAAATTTTCATCAAACAGCCATTAATGGATCTCATTGATGATAGTGAGCATTGGCAAAAAGGCTAGCATTTGTCTTGATACAAATGGTGGATGTTGGTGTTGATATTGATGATGACTATTTGATTTATTGGTGAAAGGGCCATCGACGGTGGTGTCGATGTTATGAGCTAACCTTGCTAGCAATATTACAAATATTTTCATTGTTCTTAAAGAATTTGGATCTTATTATCAACAAAAATTACGATATTTTTGCATGTATCTCATTGATGATAGTGAGCATTGCCAGTGGATTTGATAATAGACTTACTTGTTGATGTCAATATCTAGTGTTACATTTAGTGTCAATATTGAGTGTCAGTTTTAATAATGACAATGAGCATCAAATGGTCGTGACATAACTTTGAATTCTCTCTTGGATCTTCCTCATGACCTTATCGAAGCTTCCCCTCAAATAAGTTGAAATTTAGCTTATTTATTTATTTATTTATTAAAATGAGTAGTCTACTAATTTCAACAAAGAAATCAAAACATTTTATTCGTGACTTGTGTTGACATTTTTGATTATATATCTTTTTTCATCATTTTATTGCGTTGATCATATCGATTTTTAGTGTTCTTAGTGAGTCCGAGCTATGATTTATCTTTTTTAAGTTAGAGTTGCTTCGTACTGGTCTGAGTGAGTCCGAGCTATGATTTATCTTTTTTACTATTTCTTTGGAGAAGTTTTGTTTCTTTCTGCCTTAATCTTTGTTATTTGTTAAGATTGTTTTTGTTCTTTTATTCTTTGATCTTTTCTAGATGCCGAGTTTGATATAAGCATTGATGCATTCCGGTCATTTTTAAAATTCAACAAGTTTATGAATATATTTTTATATATTCAAAATGTATGATGGAATTTAATATTTTTTTGCAGGTAAGTTCTGAGCTCTGGGGGATAGTTGTCTTTTTTATCTTTCTTTGATTTTTATTTTGTCCTCTTTTTTTTTTTTTTTGATTTTCTCTCTCTCTTCATGTTTTATGTTGTTTATTTGGTATTTGTGCTTGCTTACTTTTTTTGTTTGTACGAATTAGGGCCCGTTTAGGAGCACTTATTTTAGTGCGGCGGTGTTTTGAAAACTTTGCCTATATGTTCGAGTGGCGTTTTCATGATGTCGTTGTTATTTCTTTAATATACGCGGCCGCAGAATTGACCCGGCAACCCGCGTTCGTTAGCTCCGTTTTACCTGGCTGCCCTAACGCGATCCCACATCCTTCTCCTCTCGTTCTCTCATGCTCGATTTGACTCCTTACTGCTGTTTCGCCTCTCATCTGCCTTAAATCCTCCCTAAGCCCTCTCCTAACGATCGATCTGTAAGTATTAAATGGAATGATTTTCGTTAGTTGGTGCTCTTTCAGCTAGATTTCGTTAGTTGGATTTTGTTGGGTAATGTTGGGCTTTTGATTGATTTGTTGTAGGGAATTTTCTCATTTTTTCAAATGTGTTTGGCATTTTAGTATGTTTCTCCTCCTCTTCTCAGATTCTTCTCTCTTATTATTTAGGATTTGTGATTTTATGTCTTGGGGTTTCTGTCTTGGCATTTCAGTATGTTTCTTTGGTTAGAATTTCCAAGAGAGCAAGCAATGCTTGCAGTGTAATTGGGCTTGATGGAAGCATGTTGGTATGAGTTGTTCTTGTTGGACGGTTGTAGTGCACTTTAGAGCTATGTTTGTTCTTAAGTTGTTAATGTTTAGAGTTGTTTTTGAAATTATATGGCTCACTTGTGGTCCCATATCTGTTTTGATCTATTTATTGAAATAATTTCTATGCGTCGAAGCATGAATTAGAGGCAGAGTTTTAGGCATTTCATGTGTAAATGCATAAGAATTGGTTAGTATGTATGTAAAGCTTTTTGCATATAATTGCAGATGATTGGGATACGATGGTTTCACAGGAGGACAATGCAGCTGATGACATACGTCGTCAAGGTTTTAAAATCAACATTTTAATAATTTTAATTATATTTGTAATTGTTTTTCCTTTTATTTTATTAGTTTTGATACTCATGAGTAAGTGAGGACTGTATCTTATTTTCTTAAATCGTTATGTATTGGTTTTCTGCTTCTGTTGTATCAATTATATTTCTCAGACAGTTCTGTTGTAAATAACATTACTTAACAAGGGCTGAATGATCATTTATCCAGAAATAACTGCAAATAAGTTATTTTGAATAAGCTTCCCCAAATAACCAACCAGCTTATCAAGACAACCTGCAGATTATCAGATTGTCAGAATAATCTACAAATATGCATATTATAAATAATTTTCAACTGTCCAAAACAAACCCTTAGTGTTCTTGGTGAATTGTCTATCTTCCAATAAGATTGATGTTGTAGGAGGAGTGTTGTTGAAGCCTTATTATTATTGTTGCAACGTTAGAGTGTTGTTTGGAGTGTTTAGATGTTGCTGATGTTCGAGTCTTATTTTGTTGTTTCATGTTTATTTATTGCCTGTTTGTTATTGGTGTTTGTTTTCTTAGTTTGTTTTTTTTTTTTTTTTTTTTTGCTATAGTGAATTGTATCTTGAATTTTTATTTTGTTACTCATTCCCTCTTATGAATAAAGGCAAGCGTGACCTTCACATTTTAAAATCATGTGATATGATTTTTTATATATTTTATATAGCATATTTCATAATTTACTCCCAAAATAAAGTATGAGCTTATTTTTCAAATATAAGCTTAATTTTCAAATCAGCAGGTTGAGCTCTGTGCACGCCGGCGACGCCTTTTATGATTTCCGCCGGAATCTCTAAATGGTCCAAACTTCCCGCCGCCGCCCTTGCGGCGACGGCTACCTTTTCGCTCGTTGTCACCTTCTTCTCTGGTAGCTTCTCCCCCTTCACCTATCTCTCTCATCCAAAACTATCGAAGAAAATACCACTCGAAACCCTAATCCGTTGCGAACTTCCAGCTTTCATTTGCAGGCGAAAAAACAGGCTTCTGTCACTCCGCGTTAAAGAGCTTGAAGCTTCTCTCGAAGCTTCTTTGGAGATGGCTGCATCGGAGCGGCGTGGGAGAGTTAGAGCCCAGCAGTTAAGTGGTTGACATTAGGAGCCCTATTGTTTAGCTTTTATATTAGGGTTTTGACTGATTTCGATTATTTACTATTTCAGGCGCTGCGGATAGCTTTGACTCAGCAGAGTTCTGATGGTTCGACAACCTCTAGATCAGAGTCAGCTGCTTCGTACCCCATGGCTCCCATTGGTTTCGTGCAATCCTGCTTTGCCACCAGGTTATCCAGTTAAAGCTGGTTGTTTGGTTCATTGTCTTCTACATCAAAATAATGATCATAAAATTATCCATCAAATGCAGTGCATTTTATTTATTAGCATCTATTATTTAGAATGACCATTACTCATTAGTGATACTGATACTTTTTTTTTTATCATTTTATCTCCCAGGCAGTGTTGCAATTTTGACTAACATTATATCATAAAGTAAGCTTTAAATATTACTGATTAAGTTGTCATTAATTATGTCACCAAATCGCTAACAGATGCTGAACGCTAATAGCCATTTTTTATGAAGAATGATTTCAAACGGGGAAGCAATTAACCAAAATTTTCTTGCCTCAAATAAAAACATGCATGCTAAAAACATGCATTATATTTTTGTCCAAAAAATTGCAAAATGTCAAGTATTCAAAAATAACATAAAGCTTTCTTTGGCTCAGTCAAAATAATTTTTTATATATATGAAACAGGAACTAATCCACTATCAAGAAACTACATGTGCATGAATCTATGGGGCACAAAAAATCATTCCCTTCCTCAGACCCATATTCACCAGTCTCATCACAAAAGAAGTCCTAAATATCTTAAGCCATATAAATAGTAGAATTTGTTAATGTTTTATAGAAATACAAGAATCATGCAAGGAAATAATAAATATAGAGATTCAAATCATACAAGAGGATCTTCAATTGAATTTACCTGAGATTTCATCACCATGCTTTCTTACAACATTGCAATTGTATCGCCCACCATAGTGCATGCGCAACTTTAGGATGTTGACTTAAACTATAAGCAAATTTGTCCAACAATTTTTCTCAATTCTATTTCCTTTCTTTTTTTTCTTTGTTTTATCTTCCCTCTTCCTTTTTTTTCACCTTTACATTCTCTTTAGGTCCCTTTATTTTCTTTTTGTTTTCTCTCATAGATGACTTTTTTTGGGTCTATTTTTCCTTTGGAATATTAGTCAGAAATTCCAGTTCTTTTATTTTCTATATGCCCCAGGAACTACACGCACATAAATGCACCCTTTTCTCCATTTTAGGGCAAATTGATAGTGTCGATGCACCTTTCGTTTGCCTAGTGAAATGGAAGTGATATGATTAGCAACAATATTTTGAATAATGATATCCCGGATTTGTACCAAAATTTTAATTTGTTTTCATCCAAGAAAATAATCCATAGAAATTAGTGTTTATCCATTAAAATTATACATTTTGAGTTTCATATTTATAATTGCCGATAATAGATCATTGATGAGCATTATTTAGAAATTTGTGGCAATCCTGAGTTTTTCTTTTGAATCAAATTTTTACGAAGATGTTTACTACACTTTCTAACCTTCTAAACCCCAAAGAATTCATATTACACAACTATAGAAAGCCTAGATGGCCCTCCAATTATTACCAATGAGAGGTCCCCTATGTATATTTATCGTTCATAGAAGTGAATCTACTAGTAATGATACTGCACTTGCCACTCAATCCCCCCACATCCAAACTGGTCATCTTTGTTATGATTTTTGAATAAGATGGATTTTCAGTATGATCGATTCATTTGATTATATTCAATATTCTTCTCAGTAATGTGTGACCTGCTTTGTTTCAAAACTCAAAATGCATTCATGTAGTATTTTCCCCTTTAAGTCGCAGTGCTTCAATATAAATGATAATAAAATTAAAACAGTGTCACTCAAAGGTGCAACCTACAATATATAAACTCCACTAATTTTTTTTTTCTTTGACAATTGACTTTAAGAACTTCAGTATCTTCTGAGAACTTGCATTGTGCTTGATTAGGAGCAACATCAGATTCTTTTTGTTGAAGTTCATTCCTCTGCAAGTAGACTCAAGTGAAATCGATTGAGATCCCCAATGGATGCAATAGTGCATGCATTGGGTCGAATAAAAGGTTGAGTGCGGTATAAACTGCACAAATATCACCTTTTTGCAAAATGGACTATGCAAATACATCTGAAATTCAAAATTACCCAAGAAGAACGATATGCTTTGGACCCAAAATCAGTGAGCAAAACCATAATGACATAGCAAGAGATAGATGGAAAACTAAAAAAAGGGCTGCTCTAATAAAAAAAAAACAAATACAAAAAAGCAATATACAAAAGATGTTCTACTTTTGGAGGTAGATCGGCTCTCCCACCCCCTAGACGTCATTTGGAACACTGGCAAAAGAAAAAAACACAACAAACACCAACATACATGCATGAAAAAATAAACTCTAGGTTACTCCCTTTAATAGAATCCTCTTTCAGTATTTCAAAAACTTTCCTTCAAAGCCTTCCTTTCAAATTTCTTTAATTTCTCCTCCTTCAAATTGTGATTAAGGCCTCGTGGACCACTTTTGCTCCCTTCCTTTTTTTTGTCGCAGCGACCCTTTCCCTTCCTTTTTTTTTGTCGCAACACCCGCCATTCTGGTTCTTCTTGTGGAAGCGTCTGTCCCGCCTGGCCGGTTGGAGGATTATGGACCTGTCCAAAACAAGCGACGTAACAATACACTCCTCCCAAAGACGTATCTTTTCTTCAATGTGGAAGAATGAAAAGTACTTGTGGATCACCTCGTAGGTTTCCCACGTTGCTTCACAGTTTGGCAACCCTTGCCACTTAATGAATAATTCCTTTGCTCCCCCTGCTTCTTGTCGCACTCCTATCTCTAGCAGCTCTAGAATCACTTCCAAGTCCTCTGTCAGCGTCGGCGTTAGTGTAGACGAGGGTGTGTGATCTCCAATCGCATGTTTCAGCTGTGACACATGGAAGACTGGGTGTAGTGCAGATGATTGTGGTAATCTCAAATGATAAGCCACCGCCCCGATGCGTGCCAACAGTTCATATGGTCCAAAGTATTCCAGTGAAAGTTTCTCGCTCCTCCTGTCCAATGTTTTCTGTCGATAGAGCCTCAGCTTCAAGTAGACCATGTCCCATGGTTCAAACTACACACTTATGTATTCATTCGCTTTCCTCTTCATGATTTGTTGAACTCTCAGTAAATACCCCTTGAGCTCTCTAATATCCTATCTCTCTCCTCCAAGTAATGATCGATGTTGGATACCGGAGTGGTACTATACCCATAATATATGAAGTGAGGTGGATCCCACCCATAAAATATCTTGAAAGGAATTGTCTGTTCTGCGGTGTGGTATGAAAAATTATACCAATATTCGGTCCATACAATCAACTTAACCCATAGCTTCAATTTATCGGATACAAAACAATGCAGGTATGTTTCCACACTCATGTTGACCACCTCATTCTGCTCATCAGTCTATGGATGATATGCAGTGCTTCTTTTAAGGATTGTCTCTTACAACCTGAATAGCTCTTTTCAGAAGTGGCTAAGGAGCACCTTGTCCCTATTCGATACAATCAATTCCGGCACCTTGTGTAAATGGATCTCTTTCCGGATAAACAACTCCTCAATTGAGACCGCAGTGTAAGAATGTCATAAGGTAATGAAATATGCATACTTAGGCGATCCAAGTCCACTATAATCACCGTGGACCCTTCGAACTGTGGCAACCTTTGATAAAATCCATCGTCACATCTTTCCAAACCTTCTCTGGTAATGCTAATGGTTGCAATAACCTTCCTAGTGCTGTGGTTAAGAACTTGTGTCGCTGACACACATCACATTTTGCTATCATGTCCTCCACATCTTTGCACATTACCCAATAAAGCTCTGTTGCCAGACGACTGTAGGTCTTTTGCACTCCAGAGTGTCCTCCGATCGCACTACCATGAAACTCTTATAATAATCTGGGAATATACTCTGACAACTTGGGTAGCAAGAATCACCCTTGGTGGAGTAGCTGCTGCCCCCTCAATGCATATTCCAGATGACTGTTTGAGTCCTGCAGTAACTCGATTCTTATCTTCTTCAGCTCCTCATCGCTTTCGCTCTTCTATCTTAAGGCTTCCTAATCTAGGACCAAGGATACTAACGGGGCTGTCAATTGGAGTTCTTCCATCTTTCTTGATAGCGCATCAGCTTTCTTGTTCTCCAATCCTGTCTGGTATTGAATCTTGAAATCATATCCTAATAGCTTGAATAGCCATCTCTGATGCTCCTCAGTCACCATCTGCTGCTCCAAAAGATACTTTAAACTCCCTGATCTGTCCTGAAAAAAAAAATGACGTTTCAATAGTTGAGGCCGCCACTTTTAAATGGCCAAGACAATTGCTATCAATTCTCGTTCATATACTGATTTTAGCTTTGCTCTAACTGTAAGAATCTGGTTGAAGTAGGCAATCTGTCGATGATCCTGCATAAGCACTGCTCTCAATCTGTACCCTAACACATCCGCTTCCACACAAATGCTTTACTGAAACCTGGAAGTGTTAATGCTGATACGTTAGTCATGACCCTCTTCAAATGTTCAAATGCTTGCGTTGTTGTTTCCCCCCATTTGAAATTATCTTTCTTCAACTACTTCGTTAGTGGCCATGTTATCATCTTATATTGTCACACAAACTTCCGACAACAGCCAATAAGACCCTGGAATTCTCTCATCTCCCTCAAATTTCTTGGTAAGGGCCAATCAACCATAGCTTCGATTTTGGACTGATCCACTGCTACTCCAATTCTGGTCACCACATACCCTAGGTACTCCACCTATAACTGTGCAAATGAACACTTCTTAAGGTTGACATACAACTGGTGCTCCCTCAGTTGTCTCCAAGATTGTTTGTAGGTGCCCCACACGCCCTGTTTCTGTATGACTGTAAACCATAATTTCATCAAAGAATAACAATGCAAATTTCAGAGGTAAGGTTGAAAAAATCTATTCACGAGGGTCTAAAAAGTTTTCGGGGCATTTGGAAGACCAAACGACATAACCAAGAACTAATAATGTCTTTCATGTGACATGAACAACTTCTTATCTGCTGGATTTATCCTTATCTGGTGGTATCCAGACTTGAGATCAATTTTTGAAAAAATAGTTAACTCATAAAGCTCATCTAGTAACTCATCAGTCATAGGGATAGAA